ATTGGGAAACTGCTTTCTTGATGTTAATCGGGAAGTATTGGAACATATTTGCATTTCTGAAATAAATACAACTTAGTAATCCTGATTGGTACATCATGTATACTTTCATCGAATTTGCTTCGTAGGGCGATTGCTTTTGGTCCATGATATAAGCCATCAATTGGGTAATGTTTGTCTGCTTATCTTCATCTGTATAATTAACCACAAACTTAAATTCGAGGTAAAAAATATTTTTAGTGAGCTTGGTCATTTCTTCATTTTGTCGTTTAGACTGTATGATTCCAATCGGGAGTGCTCTGATACTTGGAACCTTGCCTAATATAGGCATTTGCTTCTGTTCTGCTATAGCTGGTAATTGTGCCTTTTCTGCATAGCTTGCCTTGAATTGGGCTAGCTCTTCTTTTGCTTCGAACAGACTAAAAAATTTTTTATGTATAACATTCTGTCCTGTTATGAACATGGCTGCTTGACTCCATTGGGAAAATATCCCTTGATTAGGACCTGCATTATTACATAATGGGGTTTTGTTCTTTCTTCTTCATCATAATGAGGTTTTTCCTTTTCTTCCTCATCTATTTCTTTTTCTTTTGATGTTTCAGCTTTTTCACTCTTCTTTTCTTCTTTGCCTTTTTCTAAGAACAATATGGCTTTTATCTGGCTAATTTCTTTTTCTTTTTTCCTTATTTGCTCAAAGAGCTCTTCTACTTGCTTTTCAAGCATTCTTAGACTATTTTCTAAGACTGGTTTGAGTGCTTCCATTCTCGTGTTAATGTATCTGCTAAGTAGTTTTCTTTTCTTGAAATATATACAGATTTATAATCAAACTGTTGTACTTTTAAACTCCATCTTAAAAGTCTGCCTTTGTTGTAAGATTCTTTTATTCGATATTTTGTTAAATCTTTTGTATACAAACTATATATTTGAAAGATGAATTTAACTGGTCGTAGGTCAAGTTTAAATTTTTCCAAAGCATTTATAAAAGCTAATGTGTCTTTTTCATGTGTTGTATAGTTGCGTTCTGCCTGCCGTTCCTGATATCCATTTGGATAACAGTAATTGATTGCTATTGGTTTTACCCAATACTAATTGCATAGAATCATTAGATTCACTATTTTCATCCAAACTATCTTTAGTCATCCTTCGTATAAAGGATTTAACTTCATGGTTTGTTGCTTGCAATAAACTTGTTAAACTCTTCATATGAATCTGGGATTGCTTGAAGGACTGTTCCCCAAGTATCCTGACTTGCATCAGTGTTTAAAATAAGTAAATCACTAGGCTTTGGTAGGTAAAGCCGTGGTAAATGAGTACATAGTCTTTTTAAGGTTGTACTGCTCTAGTTGCATTGTCTGTCCATTTTCATTGTACTTTTTCTGAAATGATTTTTTGTAGTAACTCTCTTTCTTTTGCAAGACTTTTTATAAAACCTTTTTCTCCAATATATGTTAAACATCCAAGAAATTTTTGAATTTGATTTCTATTTTGAAGCTGATCTAGAAACTGATGTATTTTTTCAAGTAGATGTTTGTGAGGTTTGATATAGCCTCCTTCGACTATTTTCATTCCCAAAAATTATGTTTTGTTTGCAAATTTTTTCTTTTTCTTTACTTAAAATAACTCATTTATTACCTAACTGTATTAAAACCTTTGCAACTTCTTTTAAATGATTTTCTTTTGATCCTTATGTAAAGACAATTATATCATCTATATAAGCAAGACATATTGATTCTAGTCCTGTAAGATTATTACCCATAAATCGTTGATATATGCTAGGTGCTTGTTTAAGTCCAAATGGCATTACATTGTATTCATATTGGTTTTGAGGTGGAGAACTAAATGCTGTTAAAGGTTTAGTTTCCTCATGTAACCGTAACTGCCAATATCCTGATTTAGCATCTAATGTACTATACCAGTTTGCCTTTTTTTATTCGACTAAAAATATAATCTTGCCTTGGTAACTTATATGCATCTCCTTTAGTGGCTTTATTCATTTCTTTGTAATTTATAACCATTTTGCGTTTTCCTCATTTTATTTCATTGTGATGTTCTACATAGAATGCTGGTGCACTATGTGGACTTGTACTAGGTTGTATAATACCCTTTTCTAACATCTTTGTAGTTTCTTCTTGAAATTCTTTAACATCTCTTTCTGTATATCGTATTCTATTTGGCACATTGACTTCTTTCTTAGGATCTATTAGTTCTATCTTTACTATCATTTTATTCTTGGTTTTATTTGGATCTACTGGATTTTGACTACATATTATTTCTAATAACTGATTAACGTATTCTTCTAATGTTATACTTATTACTATATAAATTTTAAATGAAACTTTTCTTAATATCTCCCCCCTTATGAAAGAAGACGTATTATATATTTTTGTAGTAATTATTTTACTAGACATTGTATCTAGTTGTGGACATCTAAGACTTATATTATTTAATATTTAAATAAATGGACTGTATAACTTAAGAAAGTTATTTATAATTATTAATGGTAATCCTGTATTTTGTTTGTAAAGACTTGTTAAAGGAAATCGTTTTTCTTCTATTAACAATACTAAATTTGTTGCTCTATAATCAATACTTATTGTCTTACTATTTGCAATTCTCACTATAATTGGTTTATCTAATTTCTTCCCATATTTACTAGGTAATATAGATTCTTTTTCTAGACATATCGTTGCACCTGTATCTATATATGCTAGTAGAAATTTGTTAAATAATTTAACTTTTATAAAAGAACTGTTTTTACTCATCTTCTGATTCAGATGATTCTAAATCACTATTTGTTTCTGATTCTAAATCATATTTATCAAAGTTTAATAGTTCGCCTTCTTCGTGTTCTTCTTCTATAGGTCCATACCCTAAAGAAAATATCATTTTTAACATCTTTTCTTTTTCTGGCATGTTTTTAGGACATTCATTTGCATAGTGTCCTATTTCTTGACATTTCCAACACCTGCAATTTTTTTTTCTTTAGGACAATATTTGGGGTTTCCTAAGTATTTTCCTTGTTTTCTAAATTTTCTTTTATATTTTGGTTTCCGCGGTTTTCTAAATGTCTTATATCTTCTTGGTCTATATCGTTTATTAAACTTATTTTATTTATAATATCTTTTCTTTTTGTACGGGTTATAACAACCAAATTCTTGTGGTACACTTTCTAATTGTTTGCAATATCTTGAATCAACTTTAGTCATTTCTTGGTGTTCTAATTTTCTTATACAAAGTTCATCTCTATATTCTTTCGCATATTTTTCTAAAATTCTTAGAGTTTTTTCTTCTCTTTTTTCACTTATTTTCTTCTGAATATTTTTATTCATTTCATATTTAAGTTTACTTTAAACTATTTCTATTAGTCCTGATCGATCCTTAATTTAATAGAAATTTTCTCTTACTTGACAGAAAAAATTTTCTATATAGCATACATTGCATAACTTCATGTTCGTTAGAAATCTAACTACCTTATCCTTTTGTGTTTCCTTTGACTCTTGTCCTGTAATTCCTAGAATTTCTCTTAATAGATCTTTTGTTAATTCTTTAAAGCTGCTATTTTATATTCTGCTCCTGTTTCTAAACCACTAGCTTCAAAATTTAGTAAAATTCGAGTATTTTCTAGATAGTCAAATAATACTCCGGATGTTTTATATTTTATATAATTAAGAAAATCTGTCAATGTCATTCCATTTATCATTGAATCCTTAGTTTGAACTAGTAATTTTAATTGATTAGTCCAAGTGACTATTAAATCTTCTGCATTGGTTGCACAATCCATATTTAATATTCCATTAGATAGATTTCTTTCTTTTTCTAGATATGCTGGTGGTATATTTTTCTTAATTTTTTCTTGATGATAGTTGTAATCATTTCTATATATAAAATTTTTAAAATTGCTTTCTACATAATTATTCTGTGAACTAGATGCTTCACTGTTATTTGTTCTAAGAGTTCAGGTGATAATGGTGGTCTTGTATGAGGTTTTTGATTAGCCATATTAAATGTTGGTTCATCTTCATCTTCACTATCTATTCCATAGATTATTCCTTTTTTATCCCCATCATCTATTTTTGTCATTCTAGTCTCTTCAATATTACATTTTTCTAATAACTGAGTTAATCTATCTACGTCATCTATTAGAACTTGTTGGCGGTTCTATTTAAATTGGTTTAAATAATTTTTCCGTGTTTTTTCTTTTTGTACTAAATCGTGTAATTCTTTTATTGATTCTTTCATTTCGTCTAATTTTTCTAATGTTTCTAATTGGGTTTTCTTTATTATTTCTATAAGTGTTTCTATTTGTTCTGAGACTCTCAGTGTATCACTCATAAATTATTTATTTTTATTGTTTTCAGTAATCTTAATAATTTTTCTAGAATTTTTCCTTTAATTTTTGCCTATAGCAAAATATGGAGTGGAGATAGTGCATAAATTGACACATGTCGCTCAATCAAATGGTAAAGGCAGTACAATGTACATGCAGCATTGAATTTTTCCTGCTGTACACAGAATCTTGTAAATATATTTTTTTTTTGTTCTTACATTTATTTTTTTTATGGTACAAGTACAAAATGAAGCACAACAAAAAGGTCAAACAGCTCAAAAACTTGTAACAATAAACTAAGCGAAAAGCCAAAGGCACAAACAACTCCACATAGATATGATGCATGACCACCAACCAAGTGAAATCTTCAATCTTACCGCCTCAAAGCAACGGTGGAATTTTATGAATGTATTTGATAAACATCATGAATTAACTAATAGCTTATTTGGTTAGACTATACAGATACTTGAACTTATCTCATAAACTCTCTTGGATAGCTTTCAAATAAATTCGTTGAAATTTTTATTTCAACTAACTTATGCTAATTTATCAACTAATTTTGCCACACTTTTATCACATAAGCTAGCTTTCAGCCATAAGTCATAAGATATCAACTATAAGCACAAAATTCACTTATAAGTTTCAGTTAAGTTTACCAAACATAGCCTAAAACACCAACGAATTACTCTGGTCGCATCCATCCACAATCACTTTTTCCGACCTCAAAATATTCGGAACACTAATTAACCTCCATAACCACCAAAATATATATGCCCTACCAAAATATGTATGCCCTCAGATAAAAGTGACCTTCCGAGATAGTTCTTTTGTCTAAACACCAGACATTCCCCCACCATGCATTATATTAAGATAAATAATGTCGTGCTGATTGAGGCTTAAGAAAAAAACTGCGGAGAAATTAAAATAGTAATCGAAGATGAAATCAATCCAATTGACAACAAAATGAGACTATCTCATATTATGCAGGTGGAATCTGGTAAACAGATTTTAATTTCAATTCCAACAGAGAAACATAGTTGCTAAGCATAGAAATAACAGCTTCAAATTCCGTAACATGCTGCTCTATGGTGTCGAGCTGTTTAACATAGTCATCAAATGTGCCGCTTTTTGTCTTTAATTGCTCCACAAATACTCTTAATCCTGATGCCACATCACCGAATCCCTTGTACTCTTCAGCAACCCTCACATTCATTTTCTCTAACAGCTCAAGAACATTATTTGTTTCCTAGGATATCAGCAGAAACTCAATTATTTTATGTTTCTACAAGTAAAACATTTGCGATGAGAAGATCAAACAACAAGAAGTTATACGCAAACCATGAATACTAACGCAAAGATATCAACAAGATTGTCTAGGAACCTCATTTAACTGATGATCTTGCTTATATCATATTATGTTTTCAAGGCTTGTGAAGTGCTAGACAACATCCCAATATGAAATTGCCCACAGTGTAACAAAGATGGTGGAGCTAAGATGTTTCTAATGGCATATAGGTGATTTAACTAGTCAAATATTACTGCAAATAGTTAACATAATATCTCTACAGTCCTTCCCTTTCCAAAAGAACCTTAAAAGTTCTCAAGTTCGAAGGATTTCTTTTAGGATCTTCAGAGCTATTTTAGGGATGACAAACTAAAATATAAATGAGCTATAAGTTTTGCAAGCTCATACAACAACAACAACAACAACAACAACAACAACAACATAGCCTTTTAGTCCAAAGCAAGCTCATAGATTCATCAAAAAAATCATATATATTGATCAAATACATCTCAAACTTCAACCCTTGTATCTGATCATAAATATAGTCTTGCAACTTCACGAACAAAGGATAGCCAAACTACTCATCTGATATACAATTTTACCCAGCTATGAATAGCTGGGTATCAAATCAAAGACAACCAATATGCCAACTTTATCATAGTTGTGCTTACCCGGAGTTCGCCTTCTATCATGGCAGAGACACTGGTAAAAAGATCATTCAGAGACTCAGACAATTGATCTTGCTCTTTCTCCTTTGTAGATTCCATCATAAGCCCTTGACCTATCTCAGCGAAAAACACATGTTGTCAACTAATAGTCATAAATTTACACATTCACAGGGCCTTTTATATTCCCCAAGAAGTAGTAGTGTCAATAGCAGTCGTGGTTGTAGCACCAGCAGTTGTAATTAATAATAAAAAAAGTGAAATACATAAATACGACAATATGCTCTCATGTTATCTGTGACGGCCATACTTTAGAACAAAACTCAATAAATTTAAGGATAAAAAACATACTTTAAAATAATGCTATAGCTTTTGAAAGTAAGAATGTATGATAAAAATGTATTGATCATCACACATGTAAAATTTACATCAGACTATCCCATTGCCTCATTGTAGCCTCAGGAATGAAGAAATAGCCAGCTATTATGCAAATAATTATTTTCAATTGTAATGGGGTTGCCTTTCAGTTAAAACCTTGCATCCCTCATTTCAATTGTTCTTCTAGTAATAGTATAACATTGGTTTACTGCAAGATTTTTTTTCCGAAAGCCATTTAAGTAAAGCAAGATAATTCGTTCATCTTCTCCGTATAAAACCAGCATTTACACTTAACACCAGATAATTTGTCTTCATTTGCCAAAGTCATAAGATAAAAATAAATTATTCATACATCAGTACGAAGCAAATTAGGTCAGATAAGTTCCCAAAAAGGTTCCCAGTCGCATAAAGCATTAAAAATCCCGGACACATATCGGCGTTAAATTAAACAAGAAACTCAAATGAAGAAATTGGCAGGAATGACATGCTTCAAAAATATCTTACTTTCACATAAATTATGACAATGAACAGATTATTCACAGAAAATTGCAGCGGCATATACAGGTATAACATAGTAAGATGTTTCCCAACAGAAAATTTAGGAAATATAACCTTGGAGCCATCAGAGACAGGCTCTGGTTTCGTGGATTAATAGGTATGTGCGACATCCACACTCAGAATGACCAAAAACCTTTTCATTCCTATATGTAGTTTTAAAAAATGATTTTAAAAAATGATGGAAATCCGAATTTGGGAAAATTAGAGTTAGATGATTAGGAAGCAGGAAGCTACCTCTTTAGAGATTGGCTATGACAACAAATTCACCGTGCCGATCGCGGGTTTTGTCCGGCAGAGCGAAGGTGGAGACACAGGTTAATTCTAGTATTATATCTCCACTTATATGCGTTCTTTGTTACTGCCTCCTATTTCTTTTTAAATGTCAATTTGATTTTATTATTAATTAATCAAATAATAACATTTTAGATTTTTTATACATATTTTTCCATTATTACTCTAATTTAGTTAATAAATACACTACGTATTTTTGTATTGATTCTTCATTTTTTCACAAAACATTCATCTTTATCCTCGTTAATTAATGAGAGTTATTATTGACAAAAAAAAATATTCTTAATTACTGTGCAACTTCTCAAAACAACACTTATTTAAAATAGAACGGAATACTTTTTTTCCCCGCCGATTTTCCGTAAAATGATTGGGTGGATTTTTTTCCAGTTTATTGTTGTCTTTAATTATGCATGTGTTTAATTGTTTTATTGTCTGTGCAAAGTAAAATTGTGTGATACACGGGTAAGAGATATTAATTAATATTTATAAATTAAAATTTTTCATTAAATAATATTTATAAATTAAAAACATGGAATCAATATGTAATACAACGTACTTATATTAATTTATTGTAAATGTTATATAAAATTTAAATTATGCAAAATTACATAAAAATGTCTATTTAATTGAATTTTTTCCCTCCTTGTTCGAGAGTTCCTTCTCTCCTTGTTCGAGGGTTTCTTCTCCATCGCGAGGTCTATCCAGTGTTTGACTTTGGTCTCTCTCCCTTGCAGCACTAAATCCGGTCCTATCTAGGGTTAGCTTCCTTCATTTGTAAAATGGAGGATGAACTAGGGCACAAATTGGGCAAATTCACACTCTCGGAGGTGGAAGATGCCTTTATTGACATAGAGCAAACCGATGTCAAAATTAGTGAAGATGAATGCCAGAGAAACAAAGGCTACTAGGTAGGGTCAAGCGTACTATGGCTTTCCTATGGAAACTGGGCAATTCCCTTGAGGTACGAGAACTTGGAACTAACTACTTTCAATTCCTTTTCCCGACTAGAGGTGAATGCATTAAGATTGTGGAAGGCAGAAATTGGTTATTGAAAACCAACACTTAATCCTCAAAGAATGGCAAGAAGGAATCTCTGCAAATCATGAGTGCTTCGAGGAACTATCCATCTGGGTCCAGGCTCATGGCATCTCGGTTAATTGGATGGGCACAGAAGTTGGCCTAAAGCTAGGCTTAGAAAGTTAAAAATGTAAACATGGCTAAAGCAGGAGGACATGGGGGCAGTCATCAGGCTGCAAGTGTATCAACATAAACGAGCCTTTGCCAAGATGGACAAAAATCAGAATGGGAGAGAAAGTGATCACCATACAATTCCATTACGAGAAACTAGCGAGCCTATGTTACTACTGCTGTAATATCCCATTTAGTAATTAATAAAAGTAATTATTCTAAGTATGAACTAATTACTTTTATTAATGTTCGTTTCTAGTTCCGAGCCAGTTATTAAGTTATTCAGTTAAAAATTTGACTTTAAGTCGAAAGTATTCTCGGTTCAATATTATTCAGTAATCGAGCCAGTTCAGTAATTAATTAATTCTGGTCTGTTTATTTTTACAAATGGATTTATAAGACGAGATTAATTAATATAAGATGACGAATAATCGAAATTGAGTATATTTTAATTAATCGTTTAAGATAAATAGTGAACTGAAGCCAAGTATGTTCGGTCATGAGTTGAACTTAATTAAGAAATAGCCGAGCCTTACTACTAAATACTTAGAATTTTTCTAAGTGTTTAAGTCATCAAGATAAGATAATAATATCGAACCTTAGCATAAGTTGATACAAGTTAAGTCTCGAAGTGCGGTTAAGTATCCATGAACATTTAAGTGATAAATGTTCAAAGAAGTGAGAAAATTTATATAGACATTATAGTCTATTTAAATTATTTTAAGAGAAACCGAAATTTTTAGAATTTTCGGTTTTACGGTAATCGTTCGGTATAAGTCCGAACGTGGTTCCGTAAATTTAGAATATTTAAAAATAATTATATTAGATCCTAAGAAGCAATATGTTCATTAAATTGAAGAAAAACTGTGAGTAAAATATTCAAATTTTAAAATTTTCAGTTTTACGGTGAACATTCGTTTTAAGTCCGAATTGAGTTCCGTAAATTGTATTATTCTCGGTTTATTAGCATGATCCAAGACCATATATGAGCATTACTTTTCAGTAAAAGAGTTTTAAAAATCAGCCATTTTGAAAGAAAATGCATAAGTAATAAAAAATGATGATTTTTATTATTTTTATTATTTTGTTCCAAAGATTTTTATATGATGAATGGTGACATTTTTTCAATAATATATGGAATCAATTACATCACATTAAGCACGAAATTTTGGTCATCAATTGGTGAGAATGAGATGAGAAAATCACAACAAAGTTTTGCTAAGTATTTAAGTTAGCATTTTTTTTTCAACAATTGGTGAAAATTTTAGTAAACTTGGTGGAATAAGTTTTATCTACCAAAAAGCTCATTCATGGCTATAACTAGAGGCCATTTTTTATGATTAATTATGTTGGGATAAGAATACAAGTTAATCATAAAATAGTTTATGATTAATTAAGTTTATAAGTTTAAATTGTTTATTTTGTTCATTTCTTCACTCCATTATGATGTCTTGCTAATTTATGCCTATAAATAGAGGCCTAAAAATCAGAGTTCTTACACCAAAGTTAAGTACCAAAAGTTATATAAGAGTGTAAGAGAGAATAAGTAGTAGAAACTTTGGAGAAGTGAAGAATTTAGAAGTAAAGAATCAAGTTTTACTCTAGCAAGAAGGAGGTAATTTACTTATCTTAAAAGTTACATGCTTAAGTTCATGTTTTGATAATGAGTTTATATGTTTAGTATATGATATTAAGTGTTTAATAATGTTTTTATATGACTTAGATATTAAAGTTTTATATGAATATAAGCATGCTAGAAAATAAGTTATTTCTAGCTCATATATATGTCATATGTGTTCAGTTATGATGAGATTTTTACCTAGTTATGAAAAATCTGGAAATCTATGCTTCCTATGGTTATTTCGTGTGTAAAAGAGGAATACATAGGATCAAGAATCAAGTCATTTAGTTTAGTATAACTCAAGATGTGAATTTTTAAAGTTTATCGTGCAAGCTGAATTTTATGTAATTATTTCCAGCAGCAACTTTAAACTTGAATAAGTCGAGATATATGCATGATAAAATTATGAAATTTTTATGACATGTCTAAATATGAGTTAAGAATATGACTGTTAAATTTCATGATTTGAAGATGAGAAATGAATGAGTTATGATAATTACAAGGCATATATGTAAAGATGAGTATATATGCAAGAATATTCATGATATGATCAAGTTATTAAAGTGAGATTGTTATGATAAATTCTCATATAAGTGATGAGAAATTTGGCAAATTTTTAGTTTAATATGTTGAGTATATAATATTATAAAGATTGTATTAAGTATGACATATTAATATCATGATTAAATGTTATGATTAAAAGTTGACGTATGACTTGAGTTTATTTTCACTTTCAAGTTAATTAAGTGAAAATTTAATATAAGCCAATATTTAAAATTTGGGAGATATGATGTATGATGAATTAAGTATTTGATTGAGTAAAAGATCAAAATGAGTTTATAAATCATGTTGATGATGTTGGAAAAAGTTAAGCATGTTTTGAGTTTAAGTACTCAATCAAGTTTAATGTGAAATTTAGTTATTTTCACATTCGAGTTATTTAAGTGACATGCAAGTATAAACCAATATCTATGATTTTGAAGATATGATTTATATAAGGTTAAGTAATTAACCTTGAGAAAAAGTTTAAGAAAAAGTTAAGATGTTTGATGACGTAATATTTATTTGAAACATATTAAGCTTATTGAATATCTTTAAATTTGGATAAGTAAGAGTTAAATCTTATTGAGTATACGAGCATAATACTTAGTATATTTGTTTATATTTTTATGTACCTTGCAGATATAGCTACCCAAGAGCAACACTTACATTTTTCAAAAGTTTTCAAAAGAAGAAAGGTGGGGACCCAGACTGGGTATTACATTGAGTATAATATTGATATCATGTTCGAGGTATGTATACAGTTTAAGTTAATACGCTTGGGATGAGGAGGCATTCAGTTGTCTCAGAGTATATCCTAAGTTCTGATGGAGGCCGTTTGAGTTGCCTTGAGAAATATCCATCAGATTGTGCACATGTATCTGATCAGATATCGGCCAGATTCAGTTTAAGTTACTGGAACAGATTTCCAGTCCATATATATACCAAAGATCATGATATTGTATTATTATTGCTGTTTACTTTAGTATGGGTGATTTCGGGGTACAAGAGGATCAGTACTCACCCCCCATTATGTTTTTCAGGTAACAGGGTCGGGCCGGAGGTGTGAGCTCGAGATGTGGTGGTGGTGGTCGTGCACTTATTTCAAGTGGACATTTACTAAGTATTTGATATGTCTGTATAATAAACCACGTTTTTAAGTATTTCCGCTATGCACATTAAGTATTTAACTTGCATTTTTAATAAATTTCAGATTTTAAGTTTATACCATTTCGAGAAGTATGAATATGGTACAGTTAAATGCAATTTTAAGGGAAATCTGTTTTCTTTATGTCTAGAGAAGTATCAGACAGAAAGTTTAAAGATAAACGGATTTTCAAGAAGATGAGTTTGAGTAGCATCTCGAGTTAGTCGCAAAATATTTCGAAAGAGTTATAAGTATTTTCGAAGTAAAAGTTGCGAAAATTTTACTCTGGTAAGCGGGGTGTTATAGGTGGTATCAGAGCTAGAGTAAGTGCTCTGTATACTAAAAGTTTAAGTTTCAGAAAACAGTTTCAGGAAAACTGACCACACCACACTCACACCTCGCCGACTACCAGGTAAGTGTTGTTAAAAGTTTTTATAAAAGTTTTTAAATATTTTCAAATTTACTAAGTCTATGCTCAATAAGAATTCAAATATCCGAAATCTAGAAATCAGTCTATATGTTCAAGTATTAAAGTTCG